TGCAACCTATTTTGGTAGCATAGCTAAAAGGATATCACGAAGGTTCATTTCTGCCATCAAAGTGTATCAGGAACGCATTCCACCCAGACTGCGCTATTCCTTTGCACCTTTCAGGAAAGACTGCGATAACTGGCTCCCTTGTGATCAGTTAATCGAGCACCAATTCAGCTGGACCTTCTAGATTAAAATAAGATTCATAAAGTTCCCCAACTACATGAATCATTGCCCGATTCCCTCGATTTGCTTCTATTCGGCTTGAGCTAAGTCCATCCCTTCAACGGATAAAACTTCAAAAAGAAAAGTGTTCCGAATGTTCCATATGACCTGGTAGTAGAGGGGCGAATGGTGCTGCTGTCGTTGCTACGATCAAGAATGATGACTGTCATTCCGAAAATCTCTCGAAAATTTCCTATCGTTCCCTATCCATTGTCCCTTCCGGACTCAGCGACAGAGTAATGAAGTGATATAAAGTCCTACTATTCAAGATTCATTATATGTATCTACTCAAACTGCAACTCCTAGTAGCAGGCGAATTCATGGCGCATTCTTGTGATACCTGATCTCGTACTCTGATCATGCATCCCTATTTCGGAAATAAAACTCCCCCTAAAATTGTTCGAGTGAGTTCCGAACTACCTTCAACTAACCTTTTCCTTCGAATTGTATAAAACATAAAAACATAACCACACAGACAAAGGACCAGAGCCGTCACTCGATAAACCAGTCCGATAAAGAAGATAGACTGAATTATGTGCTATTTGAGTGATATTTTTTTTGAAATTGGTGTTTTGGTATCAATGCAACGATTTACAACTGTAGAAATCTGTCCTCATTTAGATGTGCAGCACTGTTAAGTGTTAAGAGTTAGAGTTAAGTATGTTTTTTTGAGGCACAGTTCAAGATAACAAGCCTATGAGATATCCCGCTTGGCTAAATTTGCGGCCCTCTCATATGCCATATATAGCACTCTCAGGTTGGAAAACGGTCTAGATAAGGCGTTATAAAGGCTCAAAAATTGCACCGTGTGTATGCGCGGACGAGTTTAAACGGCCTTGTAGAGGCTGTACCATTCACGAGAGAGCCCAAAGTGGAAAATTCAAACAACTTGTAATGACCCATAGCGACAGTGAAAGGCGATTCTGGCCAGTTTTGGCTTGATGTTGTTTGCCCACTAACCAACTGCAACGACTGAAACTCGTCCAAATACCCCTTCCATGTCATTTCCGTCACGGTAATCTCGACATCCTCTATTTTCATTACTCTTGAGGAGCCTTCTTTATAGTAAAATCGGCGAATTTTTTCGCTCTCTTCCTCACCGTTGCATCATTTCCAACCAGTGCTTCCGCTTTTTAACTTGAAAAGATACCTCAAAGTTATCGTGAACTAAGTTTTCAAACAGCGAATTAGAGTAGCGCGGTGTTAACCTACTGAGCAATGTCCATAAAAGTTTTAGCAGAGCTATATGAAACAGAGCCAGAACCGCGAAATTGCCGTTAACTTCACCGTGGTGACAGTTCTAACAGTTTGCAATTATCCCATCTGCTCAGTACGTAGGAAATTGTTACTTACAGCATCATAGGAGACATCATAAGCAGTAAGAAGTACTGGGGCGTCCGCACCCTCAAGACGATACTGAAAATCGAAAATACAGTAGAGGGGTGTAGCAACAATGAGTGGTAGCGGTACTTGAGCGGTAAGGAGTATCCATTTTGGTGAATGATCCACGACCTAAATGAAGATCACAGGAAGAAGTGAAGGCTTTTACCTCAACTGTTAAGAGTTCTACCAGTGAGAGTTTTAAGGGGAAATCTGGGCACTACCAAAAACAGAAAAGCAAAAAAGAGCAATCTACCATATAGCAATCGAAAAAGAAGAAAGAAGTTTCAGGACCATTACCTTTGTTATGTCAGCCGAAGGGAGGCAAATTGTCGTTAGCCGTACGCCCAATTCCATGACAACAGTGGTCGCTTGGGTGTTCATAATTACTTCGTGGGCAACCAGGGCGAATTTCGTCCCGATAGGGTAACGGTTCATGTATAGAAATACAGGAACCATTGCATCAAAACATCTGAGATACATGGTCGCCGTAAAAAAAAATGAGCGAAAGAAGATCGAAAATTCCCTAAATTGAGGGTACATACAGAAAATTCTCAAATGTAAACGATAAAGTCTTTGGTACTGACTTGATGTTTTGTTTACTGTTGTTATATCGCCGCAGTACGCGTTCCGAAAGTCTCACAAGTTATGGACAAAACTTCAAGGACAAGTGCGGATTCAGTTTCGGACGAGACTCGATTCCGCACTTGTCCTTTCCGGTGACCGTGCTCCTAACCCTTACACTACCGAGACCCCGCTTGCCCTCGCCTTCTTAATGGCTTATATGCCATAGCTTATCAGCACTCACACGTACAACGTTATGAGCAGGTCGGCCAGTATCAGCACTGAACCGTTAAGCTGAAAGCATCACATGATATAACTTGTTTTGACTTGATGTTTTGTTAAATGCTATGAGCCATTAAGAAATCGAAGGCAAGCGGGGTCTCACCATTAGTGAAAGTGCACATAATCAGTGATCAGTTTGAAAGGAGAGAACGTAGACGATTTTGCATTGTATTGAAGCAATTATTGAACAATGTGGGCTAAAACTATTTGTTATAAGACTGTTCAAAGTGTGTGAGGATATCGATGAATATGATTGATCCATCTCTAGGCCTTATAAAAAGTGAATTTCTCTTCGAAACATTTATCGTTTGGAACTCTTTGGATATGTTGATAGGCTTTAGCTATCATGAATAACTTTTTCAAATCTTCTATGCAACAAACGAACAGGTTCCGTACGGTATGCACAATGCAGGATGTGCTAATGACTCCCGCTAAAATGTCAACGTCATTGCTTCAATGAGTTCTCAATTACTCATTTTCGAATACAATAGTTTAATAATTGCCTCTAGTATTTACCTATCCTTCCTAGCGGTAGAGCGCAGTGAACTTCAAGTTTGGGAACGCACCTTGACGTGGAATCTGCACATTTCTGTTAGGGAGGAAGTTTTCTCGGCTAGCGAGGGAGAGGTTTCAACCCCCATGGAACTTTGAGTGGAGACCTAGGTATTCGGCAGTCTGTAATACTGCTCTTAAACATGGAAGCTAGAAGTGCTAAATGAATTTCTCAAAAGAATTTCTCTCAAATTTACCTGGATGTAGGTTGAAGGTGAAATTCACGATAATTTTATGGCATGTAGATTACGAGGTGATAATCCTACTATATATAACGCGCTAAGTGTGTCTGTTGGTTTGTCTGTTTGTGTGTGTGTAGTTGTGTGTTTGACCGGAAATTCATAACTCGGGTTTCCGTCGACCTAGAGAGTTCGAATTCGGTAGAAATACAGGCGGCAGGATGGGAACACTTATGGTGGGTGGCAGGACCGGACCCCGCCCATAGGGGGCGGGGTTTGTGCAAAAAACTCAAACGTGGACCTAAAGCGCTCAAACTTGGTAGCAGTAGAGGCGGCAGAATGGGAACACTCATGGTGTATGGCAGGATCGGACTTCGCTCACAGTGGGCGGGGTTTGAGCGGAAAATCATAACTGCTTCAGGGGCGGGGCTTGCAGAGAAATGTCAAAGTGGACCTAGAGCGACTAAACTTGGTAGGAGTACAGGAGACAAGATAGGAACTTTGATGATAGGTTGCAAGACTGAACTCCACACCAAAGGGCTGGGCGAGCATAAATACTGTTAGTTCGGACCCAGACCGTTGAAACTTGAAGGCAGAAGGAGTTGGCTGAGAACAGTGATGGTAGCTAACACAGTAGACTCAACCGTGATGAAGTCTCCAAATGTTTTTTTTTCTCTGAGTAATCGCCTTTGTGATATTACGCGATGTTCTCTATTCGGTCACAGCGAAGATGGCTTACAGAAAAAATCGCTCCTAATTCGAAGCCAATGCTGAGGGTGTAGAGCTTTCAAAGCAAAAGGAGAATCCGACGTGTTGTTTATGCATAGCAAATTTCTCTCAAAGAGGGGGAGCGNGCGTAGCCGGGCGAACCCATGAGAAGGAGGGAAGCCCGGCGTTAGCAGGGCGGTCCGACTGGTCCAAAATAGTGTAGAAGTGGCGAAGAAGACGCGAGACACATAGATTGATTTGCCAAGGTAGTCGCCTGTGGCGACAGAGGATCATGTCCCTTTAACGGCAGAGCCTCGTGAATTTTTCATGAGCGAAGGGCTGTCCTCCGATGAGTTTCAGCCGTTGTTTGGATCAAACGTTGTTGGATATTGTAAATCATCTCGAATTGCGTTTAGGTGTCTGAAGACGACGATAACGTCGAAGTGTTGGGACGTCAATTTAATAAAGAGTACGATTCAAAAACTTTGAACGGCAGAAGGATTAACAACGCAAACATTATAACCAGGCAAATTTTGAGAGATCACAGATTTTTTGTTGAACTCAATCAGCAGTTTCATCTTCTATATCAGTTACCAGCATTCTAATCATCATATACTGGGTCTCCATTCAAAGTGACATGGAATTTGAAACCCTCCCTGGTACGAAGAAAGATTGCTAACGCTAGTATACTCTTATCGTACCAGTTCGATGTACGAGTCGTGCTTTACTCCTCCCAGGCGAGTCTCGTAAAAATTAACCGACTCCGGAAGGGTGGAAGACTTGGTTGCCCTAAATGAGTATTGATTCGGGATTTGAACTTGGGATCGTTCGTGTGTGAAGCGCGCTTCTACACACTACCATTACACTATCATAAAGAACGGAAATCAGCTTCAGCACCAGGAGTATCATTGTATGAAGTTGTAGGAATCATGAGGGCAGGGCGATTGAACAATTCTCTCACATCTTCTAGATTCCAATGATAAGGAGGAGAAACGAAAGCAATGTATTTTGGGAAGGGCATCATGAAACGGGCATTTGTGCAAACAAGACATTGGCACAGCCACAAAAAAACCGAGCTGGTGGAGACTGTTTAGTTGCTCTGAGTACAGTTTCTGAAACAAACCTCAGAAAATAAAGTGCTTCGTTTGACAGAAGTCTTCCAGGCTCTTTCCAACATTTCCTCGACCCCAGAGGGATATAGAAAGTATGAACGAGGTTAGAGAAATGTTATTGTAATGTAAAGTTAACCCCTTCCTGCGTAAAAGCTAATTGCGTTTCGATTTGTTGTGCTGCGTTCACAAACAAAGATGCAGACTCTGATTTCCGAATAATTGTTAGAAACACATTCTTCCCAACATCACTTTTTACATTAAATGAAGTCTCCGCCCCTATCAAATTATTCTAGCGCATTGTTGCGTGTAATTTGAATCATGATTCTTTGCCCTTTTCTCATCCTCTTGTTGCATTATGCGGAATTCCCTCTAATAGTGAGAAGTTCTTCGAATCAGGGAGATGCCACCTTTCATTTCGCTTAGGGTTCCTGTAGTGAAGTCTTACAGTTGTGCCAGGAGACTTCCACTGGTTTGTTTGACTTCATGGTGTATCTATTTGAAAGCCGTTCCGATCTGACGGTTACCACTAAACCACTATAATACTTGGCGTATCCGGCGTATCTGTTAGTGATCGTGGCCGATGAATACCTCTTTCTTTGTTCACTACTTCCTCGAAGATCTCCAAGACTACCAATGAATCGTTTCCTACACCTCTGAGATAAGTCGGCATCATGATGACTTCCGTCCCCGTACAGACGTAAACGGAACATCCGGGACGTCATACCTTCGGAGCCAACAAAGCAAAGAAAGCTTAAAAATGGTTCAAAGAGCTAGAATTCGTTTTCGCTATGGTTGAGCCGATTGATCTCCCTCAAGGGCTCTCAAAGCCAACCATTATCCAATGTGCATGCAAGATTAATGGTGCTGCACGGTATCGCTTGAGAATCTGAATTGGTGCAACTGCCGGCTGTGGACCTTCATGCTCAAGTCTGAACCTTGGGCTAGTGAACAACACATTGCTGCGAGCGATGCTGAAAACTTCGGGCAGAATAGTACCTCTCCGTTCCTGTCCTGATTGAATTGGCTGACTACCTAAGAAGTCAGTCTTTTGAATTCGACGAATGTGGGGCCCAATGGCATCTTACACAGTGTGGTCATAACTTTTAGATCATGCTGAATTTCATCCGAAATCTCTCCAGCAATGTTCTGCCGATTCTACTGAGTGCATGAGACGGAAAATCTAGTCAACTGCATTGGTAGCTCCAATTGAAAATCACGCCTGTACCGGCTAACTAGCTTTATATCACATCATGGACCATTTCCTGCACCCTTACCTAGGTCTTGCACTTAAAAAATGCGACCATCTCATGTCATTAACAATCATGCCACGGTTACATTTCATGTTCTCGAAATGCCTGTTCATCAGAAAAAGAAGTAGGTGCACGCTATCTAAGCAACAAGCCCTTGAACATCATTTGGCTTTTCTTGGTTAATTCCCTTTTGACATAGTCAAAATAGCATCTTTGTTGCACGAACCCTTCATTATTTTCGTTCCAGCGCTCGTTGCGACGTCTTATTATCATCGACTAATGGGGCAGCGACCTCGTCTCGAAATTTCGAAGCCCTCGCCTAGATCCGGCAATGGCCCTGTTGCATGTATCTCGGAATATGGTGTCGTTCATTCCACATTCAAAAGTGCTATGAAATAGTGGATCTTTGCAGTGCTTCTTCTTCATTGGCCTATAGTGGAGATTATCGTTGCGATCTTAATTAGTTCGACGTTCCTTTGCTTCCTACAAACGTTGATAAAGGCTGCTTTAATTAACGAGAAATTGGTGATCAGATGCTCAGTACTCTGCGATTTCCTCAAGAGAAAGCCCTCCTTGGCCTTTAAAGCCCTTCTTGGAAGCTTTCCTCGTAGTTTTTCTGATTGCCTACATCTCATGGATGTGTACACATTGTAGTGGTTCATTGCTACTTGTAAACATCAAAGAACTCAGAATAAGGCAAAGGAAGTATATGAAGACAATTAGGCCATTGCTATATGTTGCGAAGGCTAAGCAATATTCAAGACAATATTTTTCCCTTCCTTGACAAGCATGGCACTAATTGACAACCACAAGGGGATTGTGGGTCTGATTGGTGCAGGCAGGATTAATCCCACAGACTACGCGAATGCAATGTCTCCAGTTAAGATCCTATTTCCTCTCTAGGTGTAGTTTCAGCTAGAGTTTCACATCAGCTTATCAGATGCAAAGCAAAGTTTAATAATATCGAAGCAGAGATTACTGTTTTGTTCGATTAGAACCCTTTTTAGCAAGGGAGACCTGTCTTCTAACGCACGTGAAATAGTCGTACCCAAAAGGCGCCTCAGCAAAACTATTAGGTTGATGCATAATAATTGTGGATTTTTTCCAGCAAATTTTTCTTGAAGAAACGATAGAAATATCTAGCAGAGACATGTTCAAATAACTGCTCCGGAACATATCCACCATCTACGTCAAGCACTGCTTCCCATTTGCTAGGCGGTAGGATTCACAGGCAAAGAAGTTACTATTCTTGAAGGCGATCGCGCCTTGACGTTGGCTAGCAAGCCGTCCACTTGGTCGAAAGTTCTGTTCGTTAACCAATTTTTCAACGGTCGATCAATGTGATAATCCGCAGGAGTTTCTGTTGGTGAATAGGGCGGCCGTAGAGGCAAATTCCATTCTTTATTCTGTATTGGCTGACTGTTCCATCGCCTAGAAGTTCGTTGAGATCACGTATGGGTGTGCCGCCTTCCAACATTTCTCGAAAAAATAGAGCATAAATTGGCGTATATAAAAATGACTATCTAGACATATTTCTGTTGAGGAAAACGAGGAGATTATTTCTACAAAAATCCCGAATTCAAAAATTTAATTTAACGACAGAAAAGAAACCGCGAAAAAATTCGCAGTAATTATGCATCAACCTAATACTTCTCACTTCTCGCCGTTCCACAGTGGCTCCTTAACAGGAGCCTAGTTTTCTGTTCTAAGCTTCCACTATGGCGTTCCACATTCTATATGAAAAGGTGTAGAAGTTCTGGACAGAACATCTATTGGCAACATGATCAGCAAGTGCTTTCGTCTTTTTCACCGACTGATGTGAAACCTTGAAGAATTGGGATATAAGTTGTTATTTGTGAGCTCATACTGAATTTTCGCTTTTGTTCGACATGTTTCACGTCACTTGTTCAGTATCACTCTTTGTGTAATTTCATTTCCAAAAATTCCGATTTATTCGATTACTTGCAGACGAGAAAATTACTGCTCCATTCGCCAAAATGATTGTCATCTATTGTTAATGCATTTGCAAGGTTTCTGGCTAATCCATTACCTTGCAATTTTCCTGCAAAGTAATGGATTGGCTGCAAGAAGATGTGCCAGTCGTGTATCAAAGTAGAGATATTTTGAAACTGTCGCTAGAAGTTCATACTTGTTGGTTTCTTGGTCAAATCCGAAATAATTAGCCAGTTACGGAACTACGAAATTGCCCTAGTGCACCTAGTGCATGGTGTGTAATCTTCGATTAAGCAAGACTACAGTTTTCCTAAGAAGGATGGTTTTTCTGTAGATCCACAAATTTTAAGTAGCAATCATTTTCTCGTTCCAGCTTTTCATTTAGTCTTCAGTTCAGCCATACTAAATATTCTATTCAAATTGAACAAAAAAACTTGGGTGCAGATTTGTGCTGCTTTATTATACGTTATTGTAAACATAGTTGAAGAATCTCTGCGGGGTTGCTTCTGTGGTTGCCATTTTCAGTTTCAAATTCAGTTTCAGTTGGAACCGACATGTCTAACGGAAAGTGTTCATTCCCATAGAGTTTCGGTACATTTCTCCTGAAAACTTCTATCACTCGTGCTTTTTCGATTGGAATGTGAGTACACCGCTCCAATGGAATAGAAGAGGTAATCGAAGCCTCCCTCAGTCCACAGCCACCGTGCACGTATCGAATCAGTCTGTTGATGGCATAGGCGCTAATTAGACTCTCATTATACTTCGTCGGCCGGAATGCACCTAAAGGACGAACTTTTTTCGATTGGGCGAGCCTCTCAACAACAAAATATGTAACGGCAATAAAATGAGGAGTTTGAGCACCACTAAAAATTTCGCTAACCCTTATTTTCGCTATCTCATTATGCGCTCGACATGACTCACTCTTCTGAATTCCGTTCAATTGTCGAGATTTCACTCAGTTAATATGTTATCTTAAGCACAACTGGCTCTCGATGATGCGATGCTTTCTTTCAATAAATGATTAATTCCATTCACTGGCATCTGAGCAGCATCAGAAGGGTGCAGTCGCAAGAAGCCACCGCCTCAGATTTGGTTGTCAGTTTGCTCCTGGCTTTGTTGAGACTTGACTCTTCCTTCAAGTGACTTTTCGGTCGATTTCAGTAAAAAAATAATAGGACATATTCAAGCAAACAAGTTTTCCAATTGATTCCGGGAAAACAGAAGACTTCCCTATTTTATCTAATCTTGTATTAGATTGATGCATAATTTTGCAGATTTTTTGCAACAAATTTTATTTGAATAAACGATAAAAATATTGAACAAAAAAGTGTTCGATAATTACTCCGGAACGTGTCCACCATGCACGGCAAGCAGATCTTCCCACTGGCTAGGTGGTCGGATTCCAAAGGCGAAGAAGTTCTGATCCTTGAGGCGATCCGCGCTTTGACATCAGCCACAAGTCATCCAGATCGTCGCAGCTTCTACTCCCTAGCCAGTTTTCAACGAACGGTTGACGTGATAATCCATAAAAGTTCCTACCGGTAAATATTCTAGATTTAGAAGCAGATCCCATCTGAAATAACCAGGCCACCTTCCAACCTTTCTCGAAGTAGTAGAGCATAATTTTGTGAATATGCGGTTGGTTTTCTAGACACATTTTCATAGAGAAAATCATATGGATCATTTCTATAAAAAACCAAACTCAATGTTCAGATTATATCGAGAGAAAAGAAGCCGCTAAAAAATCCACAATAATTATGCATCAACCTAATATTTTTTACCTTCCATATTCCCTTATATTACAACAATAAAAAACTTGGTTTCTAAGGGTTTATAGCCATTTCAATCATTTCTAAAAGTCATCTTGTTCGCAAACTTTTCTAGCCTACAATAGAGTGAAATTCAACGAAGGCTCTTCTTGTTTCCATCATCACAAGAGAGGCATGAGAGGCATCTCCTCTGCTCACAGCTAGTAGGGGAAATTCAATCCATTTATCTAATCTTCTAATCAATCGTAATCTTAATACTACCGCTAATCTATTACATTTGAAGTTTCCGTAGTTCATTGGCCTTTGCAGGAATATGCTTGTTTCACTTATTTGCAGCACCAACACGTCGGTCTGCATCGGTCCCGCGCCAATAATTAAAGTAAGCTCGAGCTGGAGAGCATGCCACACGACGGGACCTTCCCCCGTCCATCAGTCCATCAAATATCAAGTTCATTACCACTAAATCGAGCCTCATCCGGCTTGCACGCTGCTCACACCCTCTCTTCAAGAGCAGTTACATATTTATCGATAAAGTTTTCATTTCCAGGTTTGTTCTACAATGCTCCCTTTGAAGTGGTTGTATAGTCGGCATCGGATGTCGTGCTGAAGGTGAAGTGATGCCTCCACCGCCCGTTACAAGCGATGCAAAGCGACCGCTCGTTTTAGCGGCTGTACTGCTCGGCATGATATTCATTCTCATCTATACGCTGATCACTTTTCCTCGCCCTCTTATTGCTGCACCACGCGAAGCGGTTGGTGGAGGCTCGACAGCCAAGAAGCTCAATACGTCACTAATACGAGAATTGCCTACCGACGACGATCCTTTTCGATATGCCGATCAACCGTTTCATCGGCGTCACATACCTAATATTGTGCAGCCATCACTCTACAAGGTTCTCCTGAAGATCTACCTGCCATGGCGCCCGTAAGTTTTCAAACCATTCTACAGCTACTAATTATTGGGCGATTAGGTAATCAGAGCGAAAAGAATTACTAGAATTACTGCTTGTTCAGTCGGGGGGGGGGGGGGG